TCACCGATCTACACAAAGGCAGTAACGTTTCCCAACTCAAAGTACCCACAAGGGCCAAATAACATGATTGTTCTTCTCCAGTACCAGATCATGTTCAAACTATGGCTTTGAATTCTTTGTTTCTGAAAAATTAATTCACAGTAAATGGAAATGTACATCAGTGAGACTTAGAGAAGACTGTTTTTACTTCATTTTAATCAGTTTATAAGGAAACAACTTTATATTCTTAAAAATGATGAACTTTGAGGGGTGCTACTAGTGTTTCTCTCTGAAGCTTCCAGCTGCTAAAGACAAGAACAGTGCCGCTCAGGCAAAAACCAGTTATTTTCCATTTCTGTCTATAAATCACTTCATTAATGTCTATAAAGATCAGCCTACAATGCAGCATGTGCTAAGAATTTCCTTTAAACTGAAAGTTGACATATATAAGCTTATCTGATCTTAATTGCTATCACAGAGCCCAATAAATATAAATATAAAAAACAATAGTTATACATAGTAGGGTTCATAATCAAAAATACATTTAGAGTTCAGCCTATGATAAATGTAATCATGGAGCCAGGTTTGGTAGGTGCACAGGTGTAATCGCACCATTCAGGAGGTTCGAGACCAACCTGGGCTACAAAGTGAGCTCAAGGCCAACCTGAATTGCATAGTGAGACCCTGCCTTAAAAAGACCAAAAAAAAAAAAGTGATCTATATATATATATATATATATATATATATACTTAATTTAGAGGAATAAAAAAAGACTTCTGAATGATAAAATTTGGCACAAGTCCTAAAAATCAGTAAAACCAGGAGACATAAATTTCATTTCTCTTGCATTAAGTAACTGTTTGGTAGTCATAAAGTGAAATAAACTTTTGCCAAAATGATGGTAGAGAGAAAAGGCAAGAATGAGATCAAATAATCCAACACAAAATACAGTTTAGAGGAGAACTTCTCAATGCAGCTTGGCAAGATTAGTGACCCAAAGCCAAAGAGTCAAGACTTACATCTAGGCCAGCTTCAGGACTGGTAACCATCTTAATATCCAATCGCTTGGATACATTCACAAGCCACCTGAAGTATATTACTACTAATTCACACAAGGTCATTTACTTTGCCCAAATTTTAAAACTTTGCATCTTAAGTAATGTACACAGACATCAGTAAAAACTCTCAAACACTCCCACAGCAATGTACTATGGATTATTTAAGGAATCTTAATTGAAAAAAGCAGAATAACAGCACGTTCTTAAAGATCTAGAGCTTTAAGGAAAATATAGTACAGAAGCTAAATTTTTCTCAGATATCTTTACAACCTAAACAAATCATTTCGAGGGCCTACAAGATAGCTCAGCAGACTAAGCATTTGCTTAGGCAAGCACAAGGACTGGATTTTGATCCCCAGCACTACATGCTGCACCTGAGGCAGCCACTGAGGATGGGTGTGGTGGCCCACACCTCTACGTCTAGCACTAGGGAGGCTGAAAAAACACCAGGATCACTACAAGTCCTGAACTGCATAGTGATATTCTATATTAAATGCGTTTTTATTTTTTTTTCAAAATTTTATTGATAAACAGCAATGAGACAGTTTCAAATCAAATCGGAAGTACAGTTTCAACAAATAATACACTGCATATATTCTTCTTAGTGGTTAATTGCTGTACAAGATGAGGACTTGAGATCCTATTTACAAACACCATTAGAACAAATCATTCTATTCACTAAGAGAATGTAACTGTATATCTATCCTAACCACTTTGAATACACAGATACAAAATGGACATTCATCGGTATACCCCATTTTTTCTAAGTTCCATTATTGAATATTATAGGTGTGTAAACTCAGCAAAATATTCTAAAAGAGTCCAGTAGACCATAATAGCATTGGGTCTTCTGTTTAACTGGCAATGTCAGAAATTATTGACCTGAGTCCCCCACAGCTCAACATAACAGCATGGCTTTACTTCCTATATTTCGTCTTCATACTTTTCTACTGGATGGTTAAGACCAAGGTAAAGCAGGACCTATGCAACAAGAGTTGTAGCTTTTTGGTCTGAGAAGGTCAGTGAAATGCCCTCAGGATTTATCCTGAGATCCTGTACCTCAGATTGTAGAACCTTTGTCAGTGCAGCCATGTGGATGAGTCACGGCCATTGCTTGGCCAATGTGCTCTCTGTGAATGCCTGAGAGTGTGTTTTCTCCCCATGTGACTCTCCTTAGGCACACTCTACATCATCGATCACTTTCCTCTTTGGCCCCATAATCTTCTTGATCAGAAAATTTGGGACACTACCGAGGTACATGACGTTACAGTACAAGTTCTCATATGTCCTGAGTCTTAATTGACCTTAGAAGGTTAGGGCCAAAATGTTGGCTTTCCTTGTAGCCCTCCTTTTTCTCTAATTTTGGTCTGCAAACTTAGGTTGTTAACCATCCAGAAGACAAGCTTATTGTTATTATCACACGATTTAGGCTATCAAGCTTAACCTCACTATCTCACTGCATTTCAAACATCTTAGGCATAATAAGGAACAGGTATTTTTCATCAGGTATTGATACTAAATGCGTTTTTAAAAATCATTTCATAAATACTAAAGTCAGAAAATGACTAACTTCACTGAAATTTAAAAAATAAATGATCTAGGCAAAAGTTTATCTAAACTGAGTGTATTTAATTGCAAAACTGAAAGATTTAAACATTCTAAATAGCACCTTTTGTAACTCTTAAGGCAATTTTAATTATACTCTCAAATTTAAGACAGCATAAAATACAGAGAAAAATGTTTCTGTAAAGTTTCTAGGGGAAAAAAATCTACAGATATAAGAGCCAATCTAACTCAAATTAATATATCATGATAGGGCAGTGATTTTCACAATTGTTTCTTATACTATTGAACAAAACGTAATATAAAACTGCCTCTTCTAAATGACCAACCAATTTTTTAAGCAGCTAATTTTAACAATGATCTTTTTTAGACACCTTCTCCAACTTCTCAGAAGTTATGTAACCAGCTGAAGAATCCGCTGTAATTCCCAAGCAGATATGGATCTTTACAGCAACCACTTTACTGAAAAACCCCTTAATGATCCTCACTGCTGCCTAACTTTCCTTTTTCTCACTGCTACATCAGTGAAAATTTCTTCTTAACTGAACTCTAGGGAGTTTGCCTGGTATTTATTCTTTGCTCCCACCTGTTAAGAACTTTTTTTTGTCAAGGATTTGCTTCTTGACATATTACCTTTGCATGGATGTATACTGCAATGAAAGTCTTGTGTGATGATTGGCTCTTCCCAAACACAAACGTATGTCTGAAACCATCCCTGCCTCTATTCATTATTAAACTTGAAAGTGATTTGAATGAAATTCTTCAAAAGAAAATGTTGTAATATTGATCCTAATGTAGCTGCAACATTTAGTACACTGAAGTGTTCAAGAGACTGATAGTAGGTAGGCTCAGCTAGTTTTTCTCCACGATGAGAGCCATCTATATAAAACGATTACATTCACAAAGATGCTAGAACACAAACATCCTTAAAAAGTTTCCTGTTGGGACTTCTGGATGTTACTCAGTTCTTGCCTTGCAGGCAGGAGGCCCAGGATAGGATCCCCAGAAGTTACCTGTTTAAAACTCGTAGGATTTTTTAAATTAAAAAAAGAAAACTAGATTAAAAACATATCTACTGTATCTCAAATAAAAATAAGTTAAATGCAAATTTGTGTATATCTTGATCTTCATATATTTTGTCCTACTTTTCAGGCTTTCAAAGTTAAGTTTATTGATCAGTTTTTCAACAAGACTTCATTTACATTTCCCGTTTACAAATGTAACATTAAGGCCTGGTATTTCAATTCAAATTGTAACGGTCTATTTTTACATTCATGAAAACGTTCATACTCTAAGTAAAAAATCCCAGTAACAGTCAAGACAAATACAAATCCATAAACTCTCATATTGCCTCCAGCTTCAACGTATTTCAACCAGTTCCCATAATGACTACAATATTACTATTATCTTAGACTCACTGCCAAAATCCCAGCTGCAACTAACTGTACAAGAATAAAGCACTGTTGAAATGGCTCTCAAAGAGAGAGAAGGAAAATTAAAAAAAACCAAAAAAACTTTATCCTTGGTCCATTTCCCTACAAAATCCTGAAATTAAACAGAAACAAGTAAACACACACGCGCGCCCTTCGGAGAAAACCGGAGCTACAAAAGGAGCCGGGAGAGAAAGCCGGCCCGCAGCTCCCCCACCTAACAGCGCGGCGGAGTTGGGGTGGGGGCGGAGGCGCGGAGGAAACTTGGGCAGCACAATGACTCTCGGGCTCCGAGGGTCGGGAAGCAAGCCTCGGGCTCAGCAACTCCGTCGGCTCCGGTTCACAGACGCAGCGCCGGCCGGCCCGGAGCCCTGCCGACGGCCGGGGCCCGCGTCCCCGCGGAGCTCCCTCTCCCTCCTTCCTCTCCCCTTTTGTTTTTCTAGCTTTCCGTCCACTCCGGAGGCGGCCGGTCCGTTCTCCCCCCGGCGCCTCCTCGCACTCCCCACGCACCCACGGCCCCGAGCTCGCCGTCCTCCCCAGACGCCCGGCCTTCCTGCGCGTCCCCCGCAGCCCCAGCCTCCCCGCACCTCAGGCTCGCCGGCCTCCCGCGCCCCCCGCCCTCCCAGGCGCCCGGTGCGCCCCCGGCCTCCTCACGTCCCCGAGTCTCCCCGCGCCTCCCAACCCTCCTGCGGGGACCGGAGCGCCCAGGCTGCCCGTGCCCCTAGTCTCGCCCGTCTTCCCCGCGCCCCGGCCTCCTCGCGTCCTGCCCTCATCTCCCCCAAGCGTCTCGGGCGCCCCGGCTTCATCCTCCCCGAGATCCCGGCCTCCCCTCCTCCGAGGGCGACGGGGACGACGCGGGTGGGGCCGTCTCCGCTGCCCGCACTAGCAGGTCTGGCCCCGCTCTGCTTCCCTCCTCCGGCCGCGGCCCAGCCCGCTAACCAGTTTCAGAGGGGCCGCACCCCGCACTCACCCGGCTGCGGCACGGCGCTAGGCTGAGGAGAGGCGGACAGCGGCGGGGCGGCGCCGGGTA